TAATAATCTTAGCTCATAAATTTACAATTTAACAAATATAATAATAATAATAATAATAATTACTATAATAATAATAATAATAATAATAATAATAATAACGATGATAATAATAATAATAATAACGATGATAATAATCATCGTCGTAGTTACTCTGTTCCTGCAGCAATTAGAAATTTTGTTTATCCAAATAATAATTTTAATCATTTCAGAAATTTACATAATAATAATAATAGAAATAATAGTTTTAATTTTTACAGAAATTTTAACTATTTAAATAATAATAATAATAATAATAATCATGACGACAACAACAACAACAACAACAACAACAACAACAACAACAGGCATAATAATTATAATAGCATATCAAATAATACTAATAATACTAATAATATTAATGTTAATACTAATGGCACCAATAATCGTTTTTATAATAATAATAATGTTAATGCTAATGTTAATGGTAATGAACAATCGAAATCACTAACAGATTCATCGTACCTTGGCACATCATTTACTAATTCTGAATATTATAATTCTGGATATAATACTGAATCAATACAAGAAGATTATGAGAGCGATGATGTTGATGATACAAGAACAATTAGCGGTTTAACAATTTCAACTGATAATAGCGGTAATTTAAGTAGTGGATTATATTCTGGTGAAGAATATGATGATGATAATGAGAGCGGTTCTTATGATGTATTTTCTAATTATGGTGCCGATGATATGGATGGTGATTTACCAGATTTGCCTTCTAGGAATGAACATAATATAAATAATGGTGAAACTAGGAATGAAAATGAATCATAATTATCACAGTCATGGAATATTAGTTTAGTGTTAATAGTATGTATATATGGACAATTTCATATATAAATATTTATATACGCATACACGCACACACACGCGCGCGCGCATTATACGCTTATAATTATTTATTTATTTATTATTATTGTATATTGTAGATTTTTAGTATATATACATATATATAAAAATTCGATCAATTCAAAAATTTTTTACTTAATATTTTTCCATTTTCTTTCTATACATTGTCAAACCTAAAAATATTTTTAAAATATCTTTCTAATGAATGAATGCTCTTGGAAAAATGCAAAGATCTTGTTGATACATGACCAACAATTAAGGGTTTACATATGGACTTGTTACATCGCTGTTGATATTAATATTATTGCGGTATCCTTACTTGTGTGTATTTAGCCAAAATTTCCAATCAAATATATTTATTTATATTTTAGCAAAAATTTGAAAAACACAATAATGAACGAATGACAAGGTAAATTTAGTAAATAAATAGAATAAATAACAAAATGATATTATTGAGAAAATGGTTCGAGATAGGTCTTCAATTTATTCAATGAGTCACTAATTGAAAAAAAGTTTTAAAAGTTAAATATTAACACCAACCAACGTCAATCAATCAATACCAATAACCAAAATTTTACCTAGCAAAATAAGCCCCCACTACAATAAAAATCATCATAATCACTAATAAAATATTAGCCCGTCTCGAAGCCAGGTCTTTGCATCGATCCAATTCTCTCAAAGACTCTTTTAATTTCTTTATTTCGTCCACATATTTGTAATATTGAATATGATTATTATTCTCGACCTCTCTTAATTTACTTTCAAATTCTTTTACCATTCTCATCAATCGGTTACGTTCATCTTCACTCAAATAAAATCTCTTCTCGTAATTGCATTTTTCCTCGATCAATTCACGAATTTCTCCCTCGTTTTCAATTTTTAGAGTTTTCAATTCCTCGACAGCGACCTCTTTCTTGTGGCATTTCTCTTTTAATGTTGAAATTTCATCTTTTAAATGCTTGACAAATACATTTTCGGTTATTATTTTTGTTGATTTCTCATTGAAATTGGTTGTCAATTCTTTTAAAATTTGAATCAATTCTCGAACATCTTCGGTTTGTTTTTCTTTGATCAATTCTTGTGCCAATTGTTGTTGTGCTGGTGCTTGTTTATTACTAGTGCTGCTATTGCTACCACTTCCTCCTCCACTGCTACTAATGCTGCTTCTACTACCACCGCTACTGCCATTACTAGCATCACTGCTACCAACATCAACAATGTATCTCTCTAATTTATGAATTCTTTTATCAAATTTATTTTCTTTGCTTTTCACTTCTTCACCAAGATATTCGAAATCATAATCTAATTTTGTGATTTTATTTAAAATATTTTCCACAGTCTCTTGGAATTTGTTATTATAATCATGTACAACATTTTCCAAATTTAAAATTTCGTTTTTATCAGACAATTTTTGAATTGATCGAAT